GGGGCCGGGCGCACCGCGCTGCATGGACGCTGGAGTGCAGTAGCACCTAGTACGCACACGTATTCCGAGATCCCAAAACCCTGCTCTAGGAGCTTAGAAGCATTCACAGGCGCGCCACACAAGGTCCAGTATTTTGGCATAGCTGAATGTGGCGTCTGAACTCATTTATGTGCTGCTCAACGGCTGTCTTATGTTTAGCGCATTATTCATTCTGTCGTCCAGCATCTCTTCCACCTACGATGCGTGGCCTCACTGACCGCCACGCGTATGCCACTGCAGGTGCTGCCGGCACTGTCCGCTGGAACGCCCGGGCGGCGGAGCGATACCCTCGAAAAATAGCGCCGTAGTTTTAGCTATGAATCGACTTCGCCTGCAAGTTCATCTCAAATCAAAGTAAATCTGTTTTCTTCTAAAATCCAAGTTCATCTCTGATTAGGAGCCATCTCGTTCATATTTCCACAAGAGGTCAAACGGTACTGGAATGCTGCTGTCTTGGAGACTGTGATATTTGTCAGAGGACGCGGCCGGGAAGTTGTTTGTTGTCGCCCCCTCTGGCGGGCGGTGACATCCCTCCGGCTTTGCCGATCGTTGAATACGAGTGATCTCGACTCCGAATCAAGGGTATCTACCGCTTATTTCAACGCTTTTCTGATGCACTTATTATGTTGCACGCATGCACAGTGAACGCGATCATAGCCATGCCAATGTACAGGTAAACTACCAATGAATATATTTTAGAGGAGATTGAAGGCGTCCACCGGCAGGTTGCATGTGTTTTCGCTTTAAGGTGCCTTCACCAGTGCCATGTTTTCCAAAAAAAACTCCATAATCAACGATGCAAAAATAAAGCATTAATGTTGGTGATGCGAAGGTACATTTGGCACGCGTGCAGTGCGCAGGTAAATAAATTGATCAGAGCCCATCGCTGTGGCTTATGCAAAGCAACCCCTCTGAAAAGCTTGTTGACAGCTAAGGCTACCCAGACTGGCATTCACTGCTGATATCAATCCGAGTACCTAGAGCTACACCCATTCACTCCAGATCGCAGATGGAATACGAAATGCTCCGCATCGTAAAGGTTCATGTCCGCCTGACAAATAGAATGCCGAGAACCTTTCACGTGGGGCTGTCACGAGCACCTGATACAAACGACCACCACCTAATAGTTCCGCTTTGCCTCGCCGGCAGCGAACGGCGGGCCGCTGCCAGCGCCCGGGCGGCTTCACCATCCGATGCGGGGTGGCTGTCTCAGCCGGCAGCGCGTGGTGGGCCGCCGGCGCCCGGGCGGCGTCATCATCCGATGCGGGGTGCCTGTCTCACCCGGCAGCGCGTGGTGGGCCGCCAGCGCCCGGGCGGCGTCACCATCTGATGCGGGGTGGCTGTCTCACCCGGCAGCGCGTGGTGGGCCGCCGGCGCCCGGGCGGCGTCATCATCCGATGCGGGGTGCCTGTCTCACCCGGCAGCGCGTGGTGGGCCGCCGGCGCCCGGGCGGCGTCATCATCCGATGCGGGGTGCCTGCCTCACCGAGCAGCGCGCGGCGAGCCGCAGCCGGACATCAGTGTGGCCGTTGTAGGTGCGGATTGCAAGAGCTAGGTCAAATGCTGTCAATATTATTGCACGTTGTGATATAAGTCAACGTGATCTCCCGTTACATTCAAACACCTCAACTAAAGAGATAGATGCAGATCAAAATCACGATCGCAATCTTCAGCAGATCATCTACAGGGTAACCTCATCGTTTTTTTAATGGTCTCGCTTTCAGGTTCTTGCTTGACACGTCGTGCGCGGGGCGGGAGAACCGGAACGTAAGGTGGCGAAATAGCCCGAGCCGGAGGGTTCGCTTAGCCCGTGAGTCAGCACACGACAGCTGGTGCGAGGGATCTGGTGTTCCGGACACGCACCGGGACGAGGGGGCCAGTATTGTGACACTGCTGCTGACCCGTTCTGGCCGTCATTCGGCTGGTTTCGCCGCAGTCGTGGCGCGCTCTGCTGGCTCAGCAAGCGCTGCTCCGGAATCCGGCTCGCTGGAGCCTTCAGCAGAGAACTGGGAGCCGTCAAACCCGGTGAGGGGTCGCGGACGGAATAAAAACTGGACACGGGATCTGGCCATCTCCCGGCCACGCGGCGCAGCCTGCATTCCTGCGGAGTCGTCGCCCTGTATCCGCCTGTCTGTCGCTCAGGCCAGGCTCAGGCGGGGCTCAGGCGAGGCTCAGGCGGACTCGAAAGCGCCTCAGGCACCAAACTGACGGAGGTCCGGCTGCACACCCGACATGCACCGCATAACTTCCGGCACCGCAAATGATGAATGGCAATTTGTGATGCCTATAGTCGTCACCCGTTCTGTGTACAATGCTGAGGAGGAGGAGCGGTCACTAGTGCCGCTCGATAGCTGGTCGTTCCAGAAGTTTACCTCCGCTGTTGGCAAACGTAGTTCATAATCGCGGAGATCATTTGGACAAAAGCGCACGTTTGCCTTCGGCGGGTAGATTCTGTTTAACTTAACCTTGATATATCGTGTTGCCTGCTCCAACTGACTATAAGCTAGGGATATAAACGGTAAGTGTTGATACGTTAATGATCCGGTGTACACGTGCGACGATCACTAATCTTGAGATTGCCATTATCACTAAACAAACCACCACTACCGCTTCAGCCAGTTGGTATTGGTAACACAACTGTCAGTCTAAAGAAAGCAGCGATGCCTTTTCCATAATAATGGTTGCATCATTTTGAGCATGTCAGCTTTAATGGCGAGTTGTAGCGTCACAAACTCCCACACCCTCAGCGCCGACGACAAATTTAATATATGATGCTGTTTTATCTTGACGTTTATTTGACAACGCCTGAAATGTTTACAAGGAATGCACCCACATCAACTTTCTGTTATTCTTTTTTGTTAAAGACGGGCGAAAGTTGCAAAATGGTAGATGAAACTCCGGGGAAATGCGGCGTGATCACACTGGCTAGTAAAACGGTGTTATTCCGTGCACCATTTGGCCATATATCCGCTTCAGACAGTTATTGATGAGTGAATAATTAGGTATGGTCGTTATGACAAATACATCCCAACTTGCATTGAAATTGTGCAAATTCCCAGTTTTTTTCATCATAGGAATACTCATTCCTTACTTTTGTCGCGCTAACATTTCTATGCATTGCCCACTTGCGTTGCTCCTTTTCTCTGAATCTGGTTTGCAACAAGATGTTTGGCAATTGCCCTGAAGTGTTTTGTCTATGAGGGGGTCTGTAAAGTCACATTTCTCAACTTTCTGGTTTCAATGATCAAGTTCGACCCGACCTAGAGTTTTGTTCGCTGATTTAGGGGCATCCAAACGATTGTTGTTGAATTTGTCTTGAATTTCAAAATGTCTGCTGCATTTCTCGCCGTCGTTTTAGCTGATAAGTAAGCCAAATCGCGGGTGACGCATATATCGTCGCCTTTTTCGTCGCCTGAGATGGATTTGTCGGAAAGGTCATGACTTCAGATTATGCCCTTGGAGATACTGTCGGAGAAGAAAGCCATGGTCTGACCAGCTGTGAACCCTCCATGTGGCTGGCACGTGAGTTGATTGCACACCTATTTGGGACACATTTGATAAAGATAACAGCAGAGATCCAGTACATACACTTAATACAAGCACACAACAAGCATAAGCAAAGTCTGCTAACAGCATTATACACAGATAAAGTACGTCCTACTCTCCCGAATTGCTGACACCGCCTTAGCAAACACACCGATGTTGACAACTGGTCACAGTATTGGCTTCCTGTTGGCAAGTTTACCCAAGAACAAAGTATGCCGAGACCGCGATCCGATAAGCAGGGCGCCAGCTCCAGCCGCCACGGTGCTGAGACCTCGGCGCGGTGTGCCAGCTGCCAGCCCCAGCCGTCTCCAGCCGCCGCGGTGCTGAGACCTCGGCGCGGCTCGACACGTGTCGTGACGTGACGTGACACGGCTCGACACGTGCCGTGCCGTGCCGTGTCTTGACGTGACGTGACGTGACGCGGCTCGACACGTGTCGTGACGTTACGTGACGTACCCAGCGGGCCGGACGTGTGGCGTGTTCAGAGGTGGGTGGCGTGTTCAGACGTGAACCGATTTCGAGCCGCCCTCAAAAGCAGTGCAGACATCTGGATTTAGCAATCGCCAATTCTTGTGCCTGTGATGTGTGGCAATCGGCCACTGAATGCCATTGCGGCAAAAAAGACGGACCCTTGCTGATAATCTGCCCGTTAAACGTTATCGAGGTCAATGCAAAACGCTCACCACATCTCGCAAAAACGGCTAAGTGTGCGACGGTCGTGGAATCCTGTTTGATGCCTCTAACCAGGCATGATGTGGCTCATCTTTCGTTCCGAACATACTGACCCAGGATTTCGCCGCGTTCACGCCTCCCATTAGCTTGATAATGGGAATCAGTAGCACATCTCGGGATCCGAATGCCTGATGATCACATGATAATTCGCAGAAAGGTGAAGGCTGAACGAGCGCACAGCGGGACTGCACTCGCTGAGTGATGACACCGGCACGGTGAGTAGAAGCGTTTTTGGTTTCCTCATTATCGATGTCGTCTATCATGACGCAAGATGCGGCGTTCACAGCTGTTTTTAGTCGTCTACAGTGCATCAACATACCGGTTGCTCTGAGAGTTTATGTCTGTCTCGCAGAAGGCTCTCCCTATGGAACAAACACGGGATGCTTCGGAAATGCCACGGGTTTGTGCCTCGGGTTTGTGCTAAGAACGCGCCCACCCCCCAGACAAGTTTGAGGATCCCAGTACCCTATGGGATTTAAATCAACCCTTGGGATCCAGGCCTACTCGTTTTGTTACTATCGATTTCTTGCAGGCAGCGATAGCCTCATGAAGGACAACTCACACGATTTATTGGCACAACAATCTTAACGTCGACAGTTCGGCAAACACCAATGCTGACATGACGCGTGATCTCTCGTAACGTACTTAAATATCAACAAATAGCATTCCTAGCCCAAACAAGTGTCAGTCATCCTCTGCATCGCTGTCATAGAGAATACCTGTACACTTCCCCACTTCTTTGCACTTGACAATGACCTCCTCCTGCACGAGGCTGAAGGACATGGCGATGATGGCTAGGCCCAGGATGAGGTAGAGGCAGCAGAAGACCAGCTTCAGCTGATCTTCCTGCGTCTCTGCCTTCAGCACCTTTGTCCCCGGCACTAGATCACCAAACCCGATAGTTGAGAGCGTGATGAAGCAGAAGTACGCGCCGTCCAGGAAAGGCCATTCCTCCCACCAGGCGAAGATGCCGGCGCCCATGCAGATGTACATGGTCACGAAGCCGAGCACGAGCGGGATGGGCACGCGGCCGGCGCGCTGGCTGGCCACCTTCACCACCTCCACCTCGACCACGTCCTCGCCGGCAGCCGGATCGAAGCGCAGCGTCGGCTCCGGGAAGGTGAAGCGGTTGGAGGCCGAGTACACGCCCGAGTCGAGGCTGGACGGCGTCGAGAGCAGCGTGCTGGTACCGCTCAGTTCGGAGCACTGGCGCGTCGCCAGCCGGCGCAGCCGCTTCTCCTCGCGCGTGATCTTACGCAGGTGCGGGTGCTGGATGGAGACAGCCGCACGCCGGCCCGGGCTGCTGGCCTTGCGCCGTGGCGTGGCTGGCCCGAGTGACTGCGAGTCCGACTCGACGGCGCCGGCGCGCGCCGGGCTCGGCGCCGTGTCCGAGCGGCGCCGCACCGGCGTCGACGGCGAGCGCGCGCGCTCGGCCGCCGCCTCGGTCGGGAAGGCCGGCGCGCGCTGCGGGCTGTCGCGGCCGCTGGAGCCGCTGGACGAGCGGCCGGGCCGCGGCCGCGACATTAGGCTGCTCTTGCGGCAGGGCGGCGTCGGCGGCTGCCGCTTCTCGCTCACGGCCGGCGTGGAGAACGTCACGTGGTTGGCCGCCGGCGTGGGGCTCTTGCTGCGCGAGGCGCCGCCGGCCGGCGCGGCCTCCACGTCCCCTGGGTCGGCCGGCGCCCCGTCGCCCTCGTCCGCGGCTCCAGACGCCGACCGCGCGCCGGCGAACTCGCGGAAGGCGCGCCGCGGCGGCGTCTCCGCCAGCTGCAAGCCCAGCTCCTCCGAGATGACGTACTCGGCGCACTCCACCAGGATGTCACGTGTCTCCTTATCCAGCAGCTTGATGGGCGTAGCGGGGCCGCTGCCGCGCCGCGCCTCGCCGCCGGCGACGTTCGCGGCGCGGTTGTCCGGCTCGCCCGCGCCCACCTCCGCCGCGCTGACCACGGCGGCACGTCCAGTGCCCGAGGGCTTGCTGCTCCTGGCTGAGTCGAGCACCGTCAGCGTGCGCGCCTCGCCCGGGTCGCCAGCCGCGCTGACCGCGGCGGCGCGTCCGACGCTCGAGGACTTCCTAGTCCTGACGGCGTCCGGCGCGGTGATTGTGCGCACCTCGCACGGTTCGCCGACCGCACTCGGCCGCTTCTGCGTGTAGCGCACCGAGGTCTTCGTCTGCTGCTGACGGCGCGGGCGCCAGATGACAGTGCAGGACCAGTAGGTAAAGCGGAAGGTGTTGGCCATCAGCTGGCCGATGTTGGTCAGGCAGAGCAGCATCAGCGGCACGCCGACCAGCGCGTAAAAGATGGTCATGATCTTGCCGCCGTCGGTGCGTGGCGTGATGTGGCCGTACCCTGCCGAACACGAGAGGATGTCAGGTGTGCCGTGTAACCGTGCCTCAACGAACACAGGAGGATGTCAGATGTGTCGGGCGTCCGTGCCCCGATGAACGCGAGACAGAGATTGAGGTGTGATGTGGACAAACCCTTCTTAACACGCGAGGGGTGGGGTGGGGGTGGGGGGGGGGGGAGGGCGAGTGTGAGACTTGATCATACCATGATCGCCAGATACGCCAGATATGAGGACAGAGGTGTGACGCGGTGTAGTGACAGTACCGGGCGGCATATCAAAGATGTGGTGTAGTCTTCTGATGGCCATGGAGGGCCAGATATAAGGTGTGAATATCCCTGGGGCATGCAAAATATCACGTAGGCGTGGAACTCATGGAAGGTGAAGGGTGTGATGCGACGGTACCCGGCAGTTCTCGTGAGCATGTCAACTGGCACAAGTTCGTGAGGATGTGGTGTCTCCCTGGGCCCTCTCCCTACTCGTCCGAAGATGGAAAAGTCGGTCTGGTGATTTACGTCATATGTTTAGCTCTTTTTCCGCCTGGAATCAAAAGCACGCTCTCCATCAATGTACGTGTAATTCGTGTACGTTGTCGCACTCGCTCATGACACTGGGGCCAGTGGTGGTACGTGGGGCTCGTAAGACCGAGCCCTTTCCCGTGGGCATGACGGCAAAGGGTAACCATTTGTTGAGACACAAGCGCAAAATGGACACGCCCTTCGATCACAAGCCAGACAGCGTCCCCCAGGGCTGGCCACAACAGTAAGCCGTGTCTTCGTCTGCACAAAATAGAGAGGCACCGTTTTTCATAAGTCCATTTCTGTAGTGTGGCCTCCGAGACAGCAGTGACTACTGCAACAAGTTGCAGCAAATCAGCGCATGGTAATTAGTCCTACCAGAGCCGCCTGGTCGCACGAATCCCGCTAAATACTGACACATGGCCACGGATGCCGTTAGGTGGAGCAGAGCCATCCGTTAGTATCACGGAGCCGGTGCTAGTTTGATGCGCCAGACCGCGGCAGGAATAAGGCAAATGCAGAGAACGTCCGAAATGTTTATGTCGATGGGCAGAAAACACGCAAAGGCAGGCAATGCAGCAGACAGAGCGTTTTCATCGCAATTACCACGTTTTAGGAATTTGTCATCGCAGGGCGCCATCGCCATCTGCCGTGCCGTCGCATGGAGAAAGAGAGGAGGGGGAGGAGCAGCGCAGGCAGCGGCGGAGAGCAGCGCAGCAGCGGGCCCAGTAGGTCACAAACATATTTCGGGAACGAGGGAGCGCCCCGTTTGTTTGCATTCCTTCCCGTGTTGGCGGTTCTAATGCACGTTACGCATTTTGCGAGCGAAGGTTTCAACAGAGCATGCATTGCGGCACGTCCAGAGACGGACCGGTTCGGGAAACTTGTCGGGGATGGAGCTATCTTTTCGGGCTTCTTTTCAAGCTATTCAACTGAATGTGAGGCGGGTGGGTTGCTGCCAACGCGCCTGCCAAAACCAGGGAGTGAGACAACGCCGCAGGAAATTTTGCAGTGATGTTTCTGAATCCCGATGAACAGCTGAGCTGACAGGTGAGACGCACGGCTCGTTTGGCTTCAGCTGCAACAAAATCTCGCCTTCGCGTGTTATGGATGGAGGAGGAAGAGGCAAAGCATTTCGGAAGGAGTTGCGCGATTATTTTGGTGACGGTTTGCTCTGAGGTCGTCTCATCACCATGAGAACTCTGAACTCAATAAAAAAACAACCGTGATTACTCAAATCATTTGGTCAAAAGGTCACCACATTCACGACCGTGGGATTTTCCACTACAAGGGAGTGGATAAAATGATCCAAGTCAAGATGCAACACGAATACTCATTACCATGTATGTGCGACACGAAAAAAATATTCATGTGTACGCGTGCTTTCAAAGCTTACATACCCACGGCACTTATAAGCTACATTTGTATAGTGGTTATACTGCCTATTCGCCCATAAAATCACGGGTATACAGGCAAAAACTTGTTAAGTACTGCCAGCAACATCCCGCCCAGTGCATGAAAGACGCTTTGCAGACCCAGCGCCATTGCTTCACTGTTAGGTCGAATGTGTATTTGGGGCCCTGGTCCTTCCATTTAGCGTCCTCTCACAGCCTACAGTGCCGGGAGTGTGGGAGGCGCGGAGCCATAGGCGCAGGACACAGGGTGTGAGAGCGGCAGGGCCAGGTCTCTGCCGCTTCCCCCATAAGCTGAAATCTGAATGATGGCGCATGGAAAGACTCCCACTTGCTTGGCGCGCTGTCACGCAGAGCAGGATTTCTTCTGTTCGGCGTTTTGCTGACAGGCACCATCTTCCGCATTAAAGGCGCCTGTGCGTGATCCTGGCTCTCACCTGCACGCGCTACTGTTTTCTGCACGGAGCTAACTACTCGCTGTATGATATAAGTAAGATATAAGATATAAGCTGTACGCTATATGATATACTACTCGCTGTACGAGATATAATTAATGCTGGATATTTCAGTAGGCACAGCATTTCGAGCGATTCTGGGCGGCATAGCAAAGCAAGTAAAACAACAAAACATTGGCATTTCAACCGCATAGAAATGACAGGAAAATATACATTTACATACAACGATATTTTTGGAATATTTATATTTCTGATGCATCTTTTTCCAGTGTACATGTGGGTAACACATTCAACGTTTTACGTTCTCAATGTCACCGTTAATGTAACCCCTCAACTGGTGAATATTTCATAGTTCATGAAAATCACTAGTTCTGTTTAAAACCTTCGTACGAACACTGTCCGAATTTAGATCCTCTACTTCTACAAACCCTGTCACTCTTGCAAACGTCGGTGTAATAACTTCAACATGCGTATATTGTGTTAACTTCAACAAAAAATGTTTATCCTGCGCCCGGCCGGGGATCTGAGATATCCGCGCCCGGCTAGGGGCGGGAGTTGATGTACCCCTGGAAGCTTATTTCCAGCTTTCGGACGCCGTACGAGAAAAAAGATACCGTTGTTAAGATCTTGTCAAATCATGAAGAATGTACACCAAATTGGTGAGCTTAGGTCGAATGTAGGGTTACCAGAGATCACGAAAGGTCAAAACCGGCCGTTGTGATGGATGCAGTTGAAACCTATGTTAACATGTCAAGGGGGATATTGAGGGCGCAGAAATAAGCGTTTAAACTGTGGAAAGTCCATTCCTGTTCCCCACAAAGGTCAGGCAAGGTCAGGTCACTATTCAGAATTGGTCTGCCAGTAGCCTACAAGAACGACTCTGACTACGTACATTTTATTAGGTACAGCTGTGGGAAAAAGCATTGCAGGCAGAGAAATGTCATTTTAGGCTGACCTAGAGGTCATCTGAGGTCAGCATATGTCAAATTCATAAACCATCGAAACAAAGAAGAAAAACTAAAGTGCTAATCGAGTCTGTGCGACCAGTGCCATATCAACCGGGTCTATGCGACCAGTACCATATCAACCGGATCTATGCGACCAGTACCATACCAACCGGATCTATGCGACCAGTACCATATCAACCGGGTCTATGCGACCAGTACCATGGGTTTGAGAAATCTATCTCTTAAGATTGTTGGCGATGCCCTCTTCCAGTCGTTATTTGTTATTTTATTACCCACTCGTTATTCTCCTCTCTTCCACACATTGTCTGCAAAAACATGCCATATTTTTGCAAACAACGAGTCGAGCTTTGTCTTCGTCTGCTCCTTTAATTCCACATCGTTCTTAAATCGGATCCCGTGAAATGAGCTCATCATTTCATGGCAGAACATGTGCGCAGTTCATTCTCGTCTCGTGATAATTTCCGTAGCTTTGCAAAAGTGCAATAATGCAAACCTAAGGATTTAGCTGGTCTTAGGTCGTTGCCACAGAAACGCCCCACAAAGTATTTATATGCCAGAAGCATTATTCGCTGCCTTTGTTCGTACAACCAACGGAATTCTTTCGAGGCAAGTTGCCGTCGTTAAAAGCTCGGGCTTCGGCGCCCCAGGCATCTAATCAATATCCACACCATCCTTTAGAAGCGGCATTATTAGACCACAACAAACGCGTGGTTCCGAACTTTTCTACCTCGACCCGTGGACAAAAATGTGCTCATGTCTAGCAAAAGTCTAGGCCACTACTAAATTTTGGACACTCCAGCGCCTCTTCTGAAGTACCCTGGGCCCGTCGCCGCTTGCTGTCCCATAACATTGGTCTGCCTGACCTGGCCGCTGTACAGCGAACGGACCAATGCCGGCTCTTCTGACGGGACGGGTCTGGGTCGACTGATCCTGCTGATGTCTGGCGAGCGAGCCAATCACCGCCCTTCTGACGAGAACGCGCGCGACCTGCCCGACCGCACCGGCCAGGTGGCAGTGGGGCCACAACGCACAGCCCAGCCGCTCCTTGGACCGCCTGAGGCAAGGTAACCGCTGTAAACAGAGGCCTGTCTCAGTTCTGTCCAGGCCGGCCGGCGTCGACCACCTCCCTTCCCTCTCCGCTGTGACCTGTTCCATTCCAGGGAATTGGTTTGTGTGGAGGCAGGCCAGCGTCCCCCCTCCCCCGCCCTCCGGGGCCAGACCTCAGCGGCAGCGGCAGCATTGGCACCAGCCGGCTACCTGCACGAGTCCCGAAAGGTCGCTAATGACGTCACGCGTACACAGAACAGCGGGCCAGGTAAACACAGATCGCAGCGGCCGGCGAAAGTGCAGGGGTGGCCGTGCGGCGCGCGTGCGTGCGGCCGGCCGGGGGCACCTCGGGGCGGCCCAGGGCCGAGCCAGCGCTGCCGGCTCGGCAATCAGCTGCACGCACGCCGGCCGACATCAACGGCGTGCTGTGACGCAAGCGGCCAGCGCGCGAGCGGAGATCTCAGGGTTCTTAGAGTTGCGCATTATGCATGACGACAGGCGAGCGCCCAAGGTAGACAGAATCGGAGACGAATGCGGACAAGATGACGGGGAGTGAGCCGTCGCTCGGTGCCGTGGACGGCTGAGTGCCAGCTGAGCGTGGTCAA